AGCTTATATATCTGCGAGTTTCTGGGTTGGTTATCTTGTCTCCAGCAAAGTGCTTGTTGGGGTAGCACTTGGAGCAAGACATGAAGATCTTCACCGTGGGAGATGGGGAGGGGGGGAGATTATGCTGAATGTCTCCCTTTCTCCATGCTGTTTGCATTATTATTATTATTTATTATTATTTGTATTGCAGTAGTGCCTATAGGCCAGGGCTACACAGTGCTAGGCACTGTACAAACATCTTACGGGGATGGTTTCAAAGCTTGCAATCTAAACTTGAGATGATACAACAGTTGGGCATGACACAGAGAGCGGGGGTGACACTCATGGACAGCATAGTAACCAGCCACAGTGCACCAGCTGGCTAGCCAGTGTCAAGTGTTAGGGCTTCAAGGAGAAAACCTTTAAAAGCAATAGTCGGTATATTTGTAAGTTACCCAAATTTTTCTACTGTTTGTGCAGCCCATCCCTTGGTAATAAAATATCTTCATGTGGTGTGAAAAGAATAAAATGCTGCAGAGACTGAAGAAACCAAATAGTGCAGTAAAGAAAGGAGAAAAAGTGAGAGCTAATGCAGTGAGATGGCAGGCCCGGTTCTAGCTTTCCTTTTCCCAGGGCCGTTCAGACCCGCTCTGCAGCATTACTGGCAGCCAGCCCCCCCTCCTCTTTTGCACACACTGCCCTACATGTTTTCCTTCCTGTATAATGTCAGTGATTAGCATAAATGGAAGTGGTGCAGCTAAATTCCCCTGTGCACTGGGCTGGAAACGTATCACCGTCTGTGTTCACGGAGCCATCTGCCGAAACGGAAACAAAACTGCTGCTTGCATCCACTCAAGTGTGGAGCCTCGTGGGTTACGTTGAACACTACATAATCTATTAAAGATGAGAAGGGAGCTTCAAAATCCTAATCGGGCATCCCCAGCAGAAGGTCCCTCAATGTTAATTGGCACAAGCAGGCTACTTCACACCCTCTCCGCTTGCCCATTCTGCTTTTCTGCAGAAGTACCGAGGTGTGGCATGAACATGGGATTGAGCAAAGTTAGCTCTCCTCCTAGTGTAAATTGTGTGTTCATATTGCACATATCTAGTCTTCCAGAGCCACGTTTTGGAAATGGGACCATAAACCTGATTGCTGTAAATGTTTCCGGTTAAGTGCAATTTAAATAAAAAAGGTGATGACAGCTAAGTGAAGTAGAAGCTAAATGACTCCTTTCAAACACTAGGTAACGGCTTCCAAGGTAGCCATTGTTTGGGTGGGATTTCATCGTTATTCTGTCCTTATGCTAAATTGTTTGTGACATCTCAGAAAGAACTGACGAACAGCCCTGGGTTGTCTTGTCTTCCCCAGCCCTGCAGCTTCTCTTGGGTTTCTGAGGCCTAAGCTTTTTACAATTTTTTTTTTTTACAGCAAAAACACCAGACATAAAAGATTGGAAATGGGTTTCTGTAATTCATTGCTATGTTTCCTCCTTTGTTCCTGTGAAATTTCGTGAAATCCCATTTCTTCGGGATTTCTTCTTGCCTCACTGAACATAATCAGGAACTCCCATTAACTTAAATTCCCAAGTTTTCTGACACTTGAGAGTTGTTCAACACTTGGCAGTTTTGATGGCCTCGGCTCCTGATGAGCTATGATCGATTTTCCATCAAGTTGCTCTGCATCCTGAGAAGTTCATTGCATGTCCTGGGACTGCGACGTGCAGTGTGATCAATCCTGGATGGGGTGAGAGGGAGAGCCTTGTAATATCAAACAGCAGTAACACCAAAAGATGAAGGACGGGCTATGCCCATGTCATCTTTTGCTACAATCCCATTAGATTTCACAAACTAAGCAGAAGCAATCTGGATGAGTCCTTGGAGGGTAAACTCAAGCAAATAACAGGGGAGCTCAATAGGTCGAACTCTTCCTGCTGATAGTACTAAAGCCACTGCCCCCCTCTGATATTAATACAGGAGCTGCCAACTCTTGGATGAAACACAAAACGTCCTTAATGGTGACTGGAGGTTTTGTGGCTCTTTATAAAAGTGGTGCTTTTGTCTGCTGGTCAAATTCAACTGTGGGTAATTGTATGGTGCCTACCAGAATTCACCTTGCAGTTTCCTGATTATTCTGTTCTTTTCTTTCCATTTTAGACTGTTGTGTTGTGCTATTGTGCATTGTTCAATACATCCCCTATTCTAGTCTCAACCCTGACACACCTGGGTGAATGTTAGCTGTGTAGAAGTGGTAGTGTAGGTGGAACACACAGTGACAGCTGCAGTTAAGGTTAGCTGTAGCCTTTGATATGGCATTCGTCACTGCAGTGACTGAGCACAAACGTTAATTAATCCATCTTCTCCCCAGCCTTTGAGATGAGGCAAAGCATGACTGCCTGACTCACAGATGGGAACTGAGCCAGGGTGACTTGCCTGAGGTCACAGAGGAAGTCACCGTTAGAGCTGGAGATAGAACCCAGATCTCCGTCTTCTAAGCCCAGTGCCTTAGGACAGTCTTGAAGTTATCTCCCTTAGCTTGCCTCAGCATTTCCATTCTGTAGGGCCTGTTCCCATTGCTTCTTAAACTGAACAGTCCCCCTTCAGGATGACATTTTGCTGGCTGAGTGTCTGCCCTGAACATTTTCAGAGTTTCAGAAAATGGTGTACTCTAGCTTAGAACGAGATTTCTGGTGGTGATGGTTGCTTTTAGGAAGTGTGACTATCAGCAGCACCACAGTGTTTTAGAGAATACTTGTGCTAATGGACTGGATGGTCTAGGACTGTGGTTTTCAGAGTAATATTATTTTACCTTTATACTCAATTGTGGCTATTAAAATTGCATTGGCTGACGGTTCATGGTACTGAACTCTACTAGGCTGCTAGCAGAACTTGTTCAATAGAGGGCCTGTGGCTTTGGAATTCACACCAGTCCGGGACAATGGAGCCAACATTTGACAAACTTCACAGGATGATGCCATTTACTGAACTAGTTTAGTTTTAGGTCACTTATTTCATCTTGCTCCTTCCGGTGGCTGCTGCTACGTTTGGTGGCCGCATCGGTGGTTCTGATCAAAACTATCCATAGTGAGTAATTTCATTTTAATTTGTGCTTTAACAGCTTTTTGTAAATATGCCCTTGCGGGTCTGTCTATACTGACCTCAGAGGTGTGACTGCAGCAAATGTAGACATACCCGAGCTAGCGTTAATCTAGCTAGCCCAACCAACCAGAGAAGTGAAGTTGCAGGAGCATGGGCTAGCCGTTCAATTACATACCCAGTGTCCCGCCCGTGCCGCCATGGCTTCACTGCTACGGTTATTCAAGCTAGCTAAATCAAAGCTACCTTGAGTCTATCTGCACGTGCTGTAGTCACACCTCTGTTTGCAGTGCAGGCATACTCTAAGTGTCAGATTAAGCACTGTTGAAAATTTTACCCCAGTCACTAAATAGGAAGAGAAGGGGTCATACAGGAGACATTGGCTCACTCCAACCCACAAACTTGCCTGGCAGAACAGAACTGTCATTCCCTGTTTGCGTTCGGAAGCGGTGTGGAGTCAGGTGCCTTTTATGAATTATGAAACCTCTTTGAGCTGCCAATACTTTTCCAAGGGTGGTATTGTCTGTATATTTGTATGCACAACCAGAGGCCTCTGTGACATTACAGAGAGGCAGTTGCCTTTTTGCAGTAAAGGTTGCAACCAGTTTCCACCATAATCACCCTGATTTGAAATGTTCACTCCTGTCCAATGTCTGCCTCCCTCGAGCACATACCCGTGAGAATTAGGGGCCCAAACCTATTCCTACAGATGTCAATGGGAGTGTAGTCACCATTGACATCAGTGGGGTAAGAATTGTGCACAGTTTGTGTATGTTCTATTCGATATCGTTTCAGAGCCCATCAACCTTGTATCTGAATGCCTCTGTTGGCTGATTCCCCCTTCAAACATAAGGTTCTTCTGTTACTGAAAGCAGAACTCTTCTTTCCTCTACTGTTATCTTCAGTGTCTTTCCCACATTTCCCCCTCTTGTTTGCTGCACCCACTTGTTGCCCTTTGTCTAATATTAGATGGCTAGCTTGTTTGGGATGAGATCATGTCTTCCTGCATGGCTGTAGAGCACCTAGTAGAATGGGCTCCCATCCTTATTGGAGTCTCTGGTCACTACTGCCATAGAAATAATGCATAGACTGTCTTAAGGACCTAGCTAGCACTCGTTCTGCAAGGAGGCGAGTTTGTGGAGCTGGATTCTAATCCTAGCTCTGTAGGTGAGCAGTTTATTAGGGAGAAGTGGTAGTCTCTCGCTAATTAAAGCTGATTTTGATCCCCACTTATAATTCCAAAAAATCCTCAGGCTGTCATATTTTTAAGATTCCATCTCATTGACCACTTGAACCTTGAGCAAATTAAAATACTGGTTGAAAATCATGCAAAATGCTCAAAGGGTCGACATTTATAAAATTATCTAGAGAATGAGGGGTAAGGACAGAAAAGAACAATGAGATTCAGTGTGGGAAGAATGTGACCACACCCCTGGGGACAGATAATAAACGGTCTAGAACTGAAAGGAACTTGGACTGTAATAATCCTTCAGGCAGTGGAAACTATTAGGTTGTGGAATTGTCTCCCAGGAAAATGGTCAAAAACTAGATTGACTCGAGCACTAAAACCAGCACAACGTCCTGCATTGGTGGTAGATTCTTTGCCATTTTCAGTTTCTGAGAGTGCCGACTTGAACCCCTTCCTGGCAGTCCCAACAGAGTCAAAGCTTTCATGGGCTAGCTGCCCCTTTCCACACCCCAACACCAGAGTAAGGCATGAGGCATCTTACAGAGCGAGGTGGAATAGGGACAGAGCTGGCACTTTTCTTGAGCTGTCACTGCTTTGGAGATCAAGAACTTCCCTCTCTCTGGCTTCTTCTAATCCTTGCCACACTTTTCACCAGCTCAGAATTCCGTGTCAGCGGCTGCATGGTAGCCAGGAAAAGAACATTACTAACTTTGTTTTCCCCTTTGTATTCCTGATACAGAGAAGCAGAGGGAGTTAGCTCGAAAGGGGTCCCTGAAGAACGGCAACATGGGAAGCCCAGTTAATCAACAGCCCAAGAAGAACAATGTGATGGCTCGAACAAGGTAGAGAATTTCGTAGTGTTCAAGTATGTATGCAGTGCACCACCATCCCTGGGGACTGGGACTGTCATAATGCTGAGCTGACTTCATACAACAGTAATGATGGCGCTCTCAGGGTCTGGCAGGCCACAGACGCTGTGCGCTGCTTTGGGGAGGGGTGGAGTCAGGGTCAAGGTACAGCCAGGAGAGCAGCTGGGGTACCTTGGCAGACTGGCTGATCTTTATTGAAAGCAGGACTAAACCCGAGGTTCAGTCTGATCGACTGCGGCGTTCCTGGTAATCCGAAACACCGTGTAATCCTGTGAATAGGAGATAGCACAATACTGCTTCAAACGAACACCACCCTGATTTAGGGCTTATCTCTGACTTGGCTGGTTTTATCCCAGTCCTTTTGCTGCTCTTTTTGAATTCAAATGCTTCCAAATACCGGTTGACTTAACAAAGGCCTGTGAATGGCCCGTCTGTATGCGTTTTGCCATATATATTTCGTCTGGGCTCTAAACAGCATGACCAAACTTTCTCAGAGCCGCTCACGCTCACAGATAACTGACAATATTTAGTTTGTGTTGCAGGTACTAGTAAACTGAAAAAAAAAAAAAAAAAAAAAGTTCATGATTGTATGTTTTCATGGATCTCATTTTGTTTTGTCGGTCCACGGTCCAGTACAGTAGAACCTCACTCAGTGAGCATTAATGAGTTGGAACGCCACTGCGTATCAGGGAGGGGTACAGTCATTGAGGATCAGTGAGGGGAACGGTTTGAGTGCCATCACAAGGGTGGCATTTACACCTAGCCAATCTTCAGTGTAGAAGTGAAGACAACTTCAGAATGTTGGTGAAACCTGAATGCTTATTGGCCGATGAGAACGTTGTCTAGTTCACCGTATACTGAATAGAATGGAAACTGTAGGTTAGATTCTCTCTATGTGCTAAGCATCCACCTGATGAGAGATTCTTTGTTGAATCATAAATCATAAATCATGCCTGAGCTGCAATCCAGTCGTCCTCTTTCTGTCAATAGTGTTCATTCCTTTGCCTCAGTTGGGCCATCTTCCACATCTTTCTCCTGTTTCATTTGCATGGCTTTCTTCTCTCTCTGCTCCTTCCTGAGGCTCAGTTAGGGCTGGTCTACACTGGGGGTGGGGGATCGATCTAAGATACGCAACTTCAGCTACGCTATTCGCGTAGCTGAAGTTGAAGTATCTTAGTTCGACTTACCTGGCCATCCTCACGGTGGCAAGTCAACCGCCGCGGCTCCCCCGTCGACTCCGCTTACTCCTCCTGCCGAGGTGGAGTACGGGCGTCGATTCGGGGATTGATTTATCGCGTCTAGACGAGATGTGATAAATCGATCCCCGATAGATCGATTACTACCCGCCGATCCAGCGGGTAGTGTAGACATGGCCTTAGACTCTCTAGCTGATTGTAGGATCAGTTACTGACCTTAAGCATCATCGCTTCTTCTACCTCCAACATTTTTTTTCAGGAGTAGAAAGGCCCCTTGTATGCTATGGAAACAGGACCTAAATTCTGCGGCAGGGCCAGGGTCCCTTGTTTTCTGCAGCTCACTGGTGCGGCAGATTGGAAAATCTGCAGCAACTTTTAAGTAATTTTTTTTTACTGGGGTTTCTTAATGAATTCAGTAAGAAAATGAATAATACAATCAGTGTGGGATTCCACATGCATGCTTTGATAGAAACTTGAATGTGTTTTACTCTTCCCTGCCTTTGTCAATCTTCAGTACATGGCAGACATTTGTATTCCCAATGCCATACATGCTTTGTAAAAAATTGCCAGGAGGGAAGCTGGAAGGTTTGCAGCTGGGGCTTTTTGCACTGGTGGAATTAACTATCATCTTTAGGCTCGAATTAACCCTGCACCTCCCAAACTCTTGAAAGCTGGAAATTTCAGGAAAATGGAACTAATCTTGGGCCCCATCCTACAGTTGCACCATGTGTAGTTAAAAGCCTACCTCTCTGCATTTATACACCCTTGAGGAAACATTGCGTCTCACCACTGAAAAGAACTCACCTCCATTACTGTTTCTGCCCTCTGCATACATTGCTATTGCTCCATTCGTTTAATTTGGTTAGTGTTTAAGATTTTCTCTTCAATTGCTTGGCTAGAAATGCCGTGTTTTTTAAATGAAGGCCGAGGTTTTGCAGTTCAGTTATGCGGAAGAGAGGTGGTTTGTGTGTTGTATGCAGTAGGTCCCCAAGGAAATTAACCAGCTTTCTTTCCAGGAAGATCCTGAATCTACATTCTGTTATTTAAATCTCATAATGATTAACAATATTAACTTACATTCCGTCTTCATGAGACATCTGATGATTCCAAAAGCCGCTATAAAATATTCTAGTCCGTTGGGGTTCTTACACTACACCCATCTCCCTGGTATCAATTTAATTATTATGCTAAAAGAAACAGTTTTAAGAAAAATCACTGTGAAAAGGAGCAGTTTCTAGGTGTCTCCTTATTCCAGTTCCATCTTTACTCCTTTTGCTCTTCCCTCAACATTTGGAGCAGCCTTCCACTTATCCATCAGAAACCTCTCTCCTTCAAACCAAGCCTTCAAACCCCTTTTTTCCCCCCAGGAGTCCGTAGTGTATGTCTTGCCAAACTGCTGGCCAGTATTGGATTATTGTCCTAGGGCGGTTTCTGAATGTTGGTATAAGAACTCTTAACCCCCTGGCAGATTTAGTACTATGAATGGCCTGGTAAATCTCTTGGGTTTTAGCTAATGATTTCCTTGTGTAAACATCTCCATTTCAGGGTGGGCAAGGGCTGAGTTCCATAAAGCCAGAGATTCACCCCTTTTGAAGATTAGAGGTACTCACGGCCACTGCCTTCTGAGGTCTCCTCATTACATTTGCTTATTGGCTACTGTTATCCCTTTACTACTACCAAAAACATTCAGACATCACAAGCAATTCTAGCGGAACCCGCCCACCAGATGAAACACTAGAAAGTACCAGCTGTATCCTTCTGTGAGGGAGGAGTGCACTTCCAAGACACGGCTAGCTCATTCATCTGCGAAAACTGGCCTGACAGCTAACCAGACACAAAACTTGGTTCCATTTCATTGTAAAACATGAATTCCTGGCATATAAGTTATTTTTTTCTACCACTCTCAACCTAAACGACTTCATGAACAAGACAGGATTGTTCAAAGAAAATGACGTTCTGTGGAATGCGAACGAACGGTCTCTCCGATGACCTGGCTATGTTACGACTTCGTCTCAAGTGTTAAATGGTTCTGAGTTTAATTTTGTGCTTAATGGAAAATTTTACTTCTTTCAGGCTGGTGGTTCCCAATAAAGGCTATTCATCACTAGATCAGAGCCCAGATGAAAAGCCACTGGTAGCACTGGATACAGACAGGTATGAAAAGTGTTAATTAACAGTACGATTGTATGTCAGGAGCTTGCATTGTGTCTTGCAAGGAGTGTAGTGCTGAGTGCCCGGGCCCCTGCTTGCACCACTCATGCTAGTTCTTCTACCGAAGACTACTGTAGCCTTGGGTAAGTCTCTTAATCTGTCTGCCGGTCTCCATAGATGTGAAATGGGTCTGCAGCTATTCACTTTCAGACTTTTTAAAACGGGGGCAGGTGGAGTGCTTTGAGATGTGTTGATGAAAGCTGCTACATACATCTATAAACTTCTCTGTGCATGGAGTTGAGATTCATGATATGGACAACATAGAGAGAGGCAAGATGCTAGAGAGAGAACAAGTCTCTTTAACTGTTTCCTTCCCTTTGCTGTCTCTTGTCTTCCCCACAGCGATGATGACTTTGACATGTCCAGATATTCCTCTTCAGGATATTCTTCAGCTGAGGTGAGTTACAATCTCTTCTGCCTGCCTTGCCATAGATACTAATTAGATACTAATTATCGAAGCAAGAATTGAGCCGGGCAAAGAATTTAGCAGCAACACTTTATTCCAAGATTCTTTTTTTTTTTTTTTAAAGATGGCAGGTGCTTCTCCCCCAGCTGAGCTAACTGGCTTTCTCCACTCATCCATTTGAGATAGGCATAATTTTCCCCACGGGATGTTATCACATGTGATCTTAGCACTGCTGAAGTTTTATCCCATAGTTGTCAGAATTTGCATTCCACGCTGGCAAACCTCCAATACATGGTGCCTTGGCACAACAGATGCAAACATGCTATATTGGAGGCCATGGCAGACTTGATAACCATCCACCTGACACGTACAAGTGCAGCAAGTCCCTGGGATGCTACAGTAGTGGTTGCTCAGAGCTGTCTATATATAAGGAATGTTGACATGTGCTATGAATATCAGGGTCACTTTGTGCTTTGTGATCAGGCCCCCACAAAACTGGGGCAAGGGAAGATCCAAGAAGAACTTGTATAGAAGTTCTTGCTGCCTCTTCCTTTGGGAAAAAACTGAGAGTTCAGTATTGTTGATTCTTCAACCTTATTTCCTAGTACATTTCAAACATCTGTGGTGAATCAATTGCTCAGCCACTGGTCCATATTTTGCATAACCAACTAATCACATTAAGCTTAGGCTGTTGGGCAGCCCATTTTCACATGGAGGCCACTGGAAACTGCTTCTCCTTCAATCCCTTCTTTGTCCAAACCAAAATCAAACCTTCAGGAGACAGCTGGGAGCCAGGGTCAAGTCAAGAAATCTGGAATGTATCTGGGTCCCCAAACAAAGCATGCTGTTACAGTAATGCAATCAGATCTGGTCAGCTAAGCAAGGTCAGGCCAGATCAGTATTTGAATCGGAGACCTCAAAGGAATACCTATGGACCACGGGTAGTGGTGATGATTTCAGTAGCTCTTCCTTCTGGATCAATGCTAACACAATGCCCCTGCTTGATGTGAGGTGTTGTGCTGCTGGAGGTTCATTTTTTTTTAACAAGGTCTTGTCTACACAGGGAAGTTATTCTGGAATAAGGTAGGGTGTGAATTGAAAGCACTATAGCTGTGCTGGAATCATGTGGACATTCTTGGTTCAGAATCAGCGTGTCCACATTGGGAGCTGTTTCGATCAATTTCCCTGCGTAGTCAAGATCTGAGATGTAAAAAAGAAGTCCTGATCACATGTGGCCATTAAAGGTCTCACAGCACCCTTTTTTTAAAGTGGTGAGGATTCAGTCCTGGTGTCCTGGCCCAATTCCAGCTCTCCTTACTGCAAACATCTCAAGTTCCAGTTCGATACAATTTCTTCACTTGCTGGCCTAAGCTGCTGGACATTGCTTTTGTGCATTGTTAAAGAAGAGCTGTTTGTCCCACAACATGGCTGCACTTAGTGATGGCTGCAATAAACCCCTGGGCATAGTTCATGTAACCATTTGTGAAAGGTGCAGTATAAATATTGGCTGCTTATTGCTGCATGAGAAACTCAAACATACTTTTCTAAAGAGTGGTGTACTTGTGAGGCCGTACCCGCCATGTACGCATGTTGGCTTCAGGGATTCACTCTGGCAAGCTCTGAGCAATAAACCCCCCCCGCCTTTTTATAAAGAAACTTTTGTTAAAAGCAGGGTTAGGAGGATAGCTCCCTCAGAAACTCTTATTTTAATGGTACATTTTAGAATTAAACTCTGCACTAACGAACCAGAGGGAGCAAACCCCTTGCAAACAGGTGGACCAGAATTGCACTTGGTAGAGTTCTTTCCACTGGCAGCCATCCTCCCTCTCATCCTTTTTTTTTTTTTCTTCCTTTCCTCCAAGAAAAAAAAATTAGTGGCTTTGTGCAGCCTCAATTAGCAGCTCTCTCATTGTGTAGAATCCCTGCCCCTGCCATGCAGTTTGCCAGGCAGCCTGCCCTGTGCTGGGGCCCACATTTGAAGTCTGAAAGTCAGGAGCTCTTAAACTAATGCATGAGACATAGGTTCCTGTGGCCACTTATCACTCTGGCTATGTCTACACTACCACAGTAAGTCAACCTAAGTTACGCTACTCCTACTACGTAGCTTAAGTCGATTTACTGCGGTGTCTGCACCGCACTGGGTCGACTGAAGACACTCTCCCGTCGACTTTCCTTACTCTTCTCGTTCAGGGTGGAGTACTGGGGTCGACCGGAGAGCAATCTGCGGTTGATTTAGCGAGTCTTCACTAGACCCGCTAAATCAACCCCCGGTGCATCAATCGCCGGAGCGTCGATCCGGCCGTAGTGTAGAGATAGCCTCTGATTGCGTCTACACTGCAGCTGCTGGAGTAATTTCCAGCTCAAGGACACACATCCCCACTGACTTTGATCACCGAGCTAGCCCACTAAAAATAGCAGTGTAGCGGCAGCAGCATGGGCTAGCCACCCGAGTCTAATCCTGTCCAAGATCCTAGATAATGTACTCAGGCAGCTAACCAAGCCACCAGCCATGCTGCTGCGGCTACACCGCTGTCTTTAGCACCCTACCTTGATCAAAGCTAGTAGGTGTATGTCTGCCCCAGCTGGGAATCACACCTCCCACTCCAGTGTAGGAGTACCCGGTGAGGCAGGGAAAGCGAGAGGCTTTCAGCAGCAGAAAAGGGGTCTGGAATTATAACTCTTGGCAGCTGGGAAGGAAGTCTGCTTTGGTCCAGTGGTAGTGGGCGGAGGGCGTTTGGAAGCGTTCCAGGCGTCTTGTTTGGGTTGAGAGGGAATTGAAAGGGGGTGGCACCTGGGGATGCAGCTGGGACTCTGGTGGGATATTTTTCACTGCTGGGATGTTTGGCAGCTGGGAATGGAAGACAAATATGTCACATGTTCAGGAAACATCCTCCCATTCTGGACCATTTGTGGGGGGGTGGAGGGGGAAGTCTCAAGTATTTGACTGTTTGTCTCTTTGTCTGCAGCAGATCAACCAAGACTTGAACATCCAGCTGCTAAAGGATGGCTATCGGTTAGATGAGATCCCAGACGATGAGGACCTCGACCTAATCCCCCCTAAATCAGTCAACCCCACCTGCATGTGCTGCCAAGCCACCTCCTCCACCGCCTGCCACATCCAGTAATGAGGACGGCAGGCTGTGATCAGTGCTTTCCACTATAACTGTAAAACTTAACAGCCATTGCTTCCTCCTATGGTAGGACGTGCACCTCTTTGTGTTCATGGAGCCAGGAGAAACCAAAACTCCATTTTATGATTGGTTGATGAGTTATTTTAAGCTATGGTTAACAGACAAAAGCTGCTCCAAGTGCCAGGCTGGAGTCTGAGCAATTGGCTGGTCTGGAAAGCTAATGCAAATGGGTCCAGTGATCCCTGGGTCTGGGCAGGCTCTGGGTATGGTTTGTAAGGTGTATGTACTGGATTGAGAAGGATCAGATGTGGCTGCAGTTAATCCTACCCGTCACAACTAATCCAACTGCGAGTTCAACTGAGTCTAAGATGTAAGGTCTTTCTAACCCGGGGAAAGGTCATTTTTTAATTCATTCACTGAAACTGATCAGTTTGTGCCAACCAAAATTGTACCTGAATAGGAACAGAGTGGAGTATTCTAGACTATGGCAGTGCTGCTGGCAAGGATTAATATACCCTGGAAATCAGTTACACACAAACCGAACATGTAGGAGGAATTTCATTCTGGGTTCATACCAAACTTTACTTGGACTGTCATGTCACAGATCTGATGTAACTTACTGTCATTTCCATATGAGATTAGCAGCAAACAGATAAAATTCTGTCCACAATCCATCCAGGCCCCTCCTGCAATCAATTTATTCCCAGGAGTAAACATACCATATCCATGAATTCAGTCCAGACATATTTATTGGGTTCTGCCTCCAATGTTTAAGGGGAATTTTTGGGGCCCAGCTGCTGGCAAAAATCACAGTCCTTGTCCATTTAAGTAAAAAATATGTATATACCTAGGAAGAATCATAATGATACAGTCTTAAGGTCAGAACCAAAAAAGCAAGTTGAAGAAAGCACATGGTTTTTACAGTACACAGAGGTTCATGTTATCTTGACTTTGAGCCTCTTAGTGCCTATTGAAGAGATTTACCAACACTGTATGTCTGTGCATTTAGTGTTGCCATATGTTAGCAGGATAGGCAGCTTTCAGCAACAAGAGGATTGAGCAGGTTCCCATCATGAGACGCACGAGGGAAACTGCTGTCATCCCACCTCTGCCATGTTCATGTTCAGGAAACATGCCTCTAAGATCAGCAGATTTACTGCATCGCCAATTCAGGTTTGTTTTTAATGCCAGTGAATTTCCTGAATTACGAACCATATTGGCCTCCTGATATTTCTTTTAAACTTTTGGTGCAAAAGGTGCCCAAGAGTCAGGTGAATGTAGGGCCTGCGCTTATTATGCCATCAGACTAAATTCCTTGACATGAAACATGACTGCATATTCTTCTGCTTTGTCAGGAGGGACAAAAACTACCAACCTTGCTTTTAGTGCTTGCTTCAGGTATTGGTAATGAAAAATATTTGAGGAAAACGAAACCATTTTTCCAGTTTAAACTTCTTCTGGGAATTCCTTCATAATGCAACACATATGCTTAAATTTCATCTTTCTGGAGTATAAAATCCTTGTGTAAAAGTTAGATGCCGTCAACTAAATCTTTAAAAGGACACTGTCAGCTGCTGTTAATAGCTTAAATCATTGTTGGCTTTTACTCTGTGTATGGCAAGATGTAGCATACTCTAGTGGTCTGAGCACAGGATTAGAGCACAGGGGCTCCTGGGTTCTAGAGCACAGGGGCTCCTGGGTT